TCATCGTTTAATGCCTGCGATTGCAGAGACTTTCATTAGGGCTGGAGAGCGTTCGGGAGCGAGCTGCTGCGGTCCCTGGTGTTCGCTTGCCAGCGCTGGGGAAGTGTGCTATGGATATGCTGGAAGGGGTTTTTCCTTTCGTTTTGTTTTATTGCAGTCGTTTCCTGGCCCACCTTCTAATGGTACCTGGACACCTTCTAATGTGGTCCAAGGAGTCCGGAGGAGTAATACCACTGCATGCAGTGGAACGATGTGGCAGAAACACTTTTTTGCTCCACCTTGCATCATGTATTATGCCAATAAGTGTAATGCATATGCTTTGTTTCACAGAGAAAGTTTGTGAAATTTTATTGGTGGTATTTCTGTTTTTTCATGTTTGTAGGTTCAGGTTTCCTTCAAAGCCACAAAAAGCCTCCACCTGAGGTTCCTTGAGAAGTCGGAAAGCCCTTATAGATATAGGAGACTCAATCAGTGTAGTTAGCTTAGGTTGCTAAAAGTCTGTTGAGTAAATGAAGCACCTGGAATACAAGAGGAAAGGGTTCTTGCACAGGCAAATAACTACAGTAGGAAACAAGAGGGTAGCAGTAAATGGTTTCCTCCTCCAGTGGTGTTTCATAGGGACCTGTCCCGGGCAGTTCAAGCTGGTTGACCAGATAAAGGGGTGAGCAGTGAAGTGAGAGGGCTTGGTGGTGATATTAAGCTATGGAAAAATACTAAGGACAAGGGTCAGCTATGAAAAAATATCGAGAAAGGTCTTATAAGACTATCTGGGCAATAACATGGCAAATGAAATGGCAGAGGGGGATGTACGTGAACAGAAGGAACCAGCTTTCCATGTAGAAGATGGGCTGTGAGCTCACTGTTCTTGCCTGGGAGGTAGATCTTGGTGTTACGACAAAATGAAGTTTTCATGGGACTGAACTGTACCAGTTTTCATAGGGCCTCTTGGTTCTGACAGTGGCCAAAAGCAGATGACTAGGGAAGAGGGAGGAAATTTAAAGCAAACATGTAGAGATACTGTCCACTGCTGTTGTACCAGCCTCCAAGGATTTACAATTCAAGGTCTTCCCTGATGTTTAAACTTGTGGTAGGTTTTTGGTGGCTTATTAGCCAAGGCATAGGAGTAGGATGTGTGGTGTGTGTGTATCTTTGTAATCTGTGTAAAGGCAAGATAAATATCAGAAAGGATAGGAAGAAGGCAGAGCAATCCTGACTATTGCAGGGCCAACCTACAGTTCTTGGCTAAAGAAATCAAGAGAATTCTTGAACTGTGAGCTGTTTCCTTACAGTTACTCATTCACAAATGTACTTTGATGCAATCGTGCTGCTATTCACAGTTATGACCTGAGGATTTTATGGGATGAAAATAGAAACTTCCACAGATGAAGTAATCTCTTGCTGTAAAAGGATTTTATGGGATGAAAATAGAAACTTCCACAGGTAAAGTAATCTCTTGCTGTAAAAGTGTTTCTGAGGAACACTTTGACACATCCATATATATTCTGAAGAGGTTGGTTTACATATTAATGATAGAACTTAGGGGGTTTATAGAAATGTATGATTATAAACACTTTCTGTTTAAAAAAAAAAAAAAAGCCTTTTCCTTCATTAAAAGGTATTCTTTTAAGGCTAGCAATAAAAGTGCAGGCATTCCTCTGTTTTACTGTATCTGTGGTTTGTAAGAGATGGTTTTAAAGTTTGAGCATGTGTTCAGGTATTTGGAGAACCAAAAAAGACAAGTTCTAGCATTTCTTATGCTGGAAAGGCATAATACTAGAAAGTTCGTGGCTTGGTTTTTAAGGTAGCATTAAGGAGTCCTTGGTACTGGAAGAACTGATGCTTTGTGGCCTGTAAATATATTGAGAATATGCCCATGTTTCCTGATACACTAACATCTCGGATCACTTAAAACAGGCAAGTTGAGAGTTCATAGTTTTAGTAAAGACCACTGTTTGCTTGGCACCATATCTGTAACTTCTTTTTATGCAGGGAGACATCTGAGAAAATGGACTCTATGTTAATGATTGAACAGAAACACATAGCTAAATAACTACTGTATGGACAATTACTGGTTTGTGCCTTTGCTCTATTCCTGCAATAGTGAGGTGCTGCTGCGTTTTGTGCACTTTGTGCAAGTTTTAAAGTGCAAAATTGAAGGAGGGTGCCTGTGGAGTAAAATAAATCTCAAATTAAATGTACATTTTTCTGAAAAATACTGTTGTAAATAAGGTAAATAAAAACTATTTTAAAACAAGGTAGTTTGTTTCAAGCAAATGTTTGCGTTGATGGATAGGATTGAAAAAAAATTCAACAGAGTTGTTGTAATCTTTTTTTTTTTTTTTCCCTCCAGTGGAGGTGTCAGTTAACCATATTTAATATTACGGAATGATGTGTTTCTGTGTTTATAGGAAGGGACTGTCCAGAGGTTCCGCAAATCAATGTCTTTCTGGAAAAAGTGGAGAATCTCTTCCAGCAGTATTCGAGAGCAATGTGCAGGAAGCCATCGACAGTTATACTTGGTATGCATTCATTTCTGAAATAGTACTTCAGTAACGGACTCTTGGCTTAAGTAGATATTTCAAGATTGGTATTAATTTTCACTAGTCATGCTTCTAGTCATTCTCACAGATGAAAACTGTTACAGGATATAATGCAGGATATAAATTGACCTAACCCACTGTTTAGAGGGTTTGACCTTTACTCCTGGTTTGTATATGGATTTGCATATTTTTAGAGCATAGTGAAGGGCACTGATTAAGCCTGGGAGGGAAGTCAGACTTCATGGTTAAATGCAAGTAATGCTCACCAGCGTTGCACGTCAGTTAACTTTCAAGAAGTTTCATTCCAGTTGGCACTGGTTAGGATTTGCCTGGCCTGCACATCTGACTGCCCTTGCTTTCACTGCATCCCAGGGTGGATGGTAGCTGGCAGGGACCAGCTAGAGCTTTCAGAGAGCTGGAATCCCAGAGCTCAAGGTTTAAAGTGCACCAGGTCTAACAGCATAAAAGACATTGTGTATGGATATGTAACTCAGTGCTATTTGAAATGTTTGTAGAGATGTTATGCTCTGTTTTGCATGATTTTCTTGTGATAGCTTCTAATAAAGTTAAAGAAGGCTTATGTTATCTTTAATGTATAGTTTTGATGTGCCCTTTAGCTGAACTGGGGAAACCAAAATAATTGTTAGAGGTGGAAATGCTTGGTATGTGTGTGGGTATATACGTGTGGATATATTCTAGAGTCCCCTTACAGTTGCAGTGATATACATATATATAAAAGCAAAACATTGTAGAAGGAATTGCCTTTAAGGCAGTAAATGGTACAAATAGGAGTAGGTACTCATTGCACTCTACTTAAAAACGTACATTTGCAACTCTTCACATCGACTCTTAACAGCATGTCCTGAAAACCTTGCATCCAACAGGAATATGTAATCACTGTCCATTTATGTGACCAGCTGTGTTATTTTTAAAATGTTTAAACAGAAAAACATTGTGTTCTTCATTTTAATTTGTCGTCTTTTCACAGTGAAACGCTTTCATCACTTTCAACTAGTGGTCGTACAACACCCACAGAGTTGAATAATTCTTGGTCTGGAATAAAGAGCTATACTACTGGTTTGTCTACTGAAAGAAGTTCAGTTTACTCCTGGAGGGATGATGTACGTCGCAGAAACTTTACAGTACACTTTATCTAAATATTGTAGGATAGATTAATTTTTACAGAAAATGGACATGCAGCACGTCCTGTAGGAGAAGTTAACCACTTTTATTCATTATAGCCTAATGATTAAGTATATTAATTGAATTTTTAAAAAAAAGTTCTGTTTGCAAGTTGATATCAGTGCAGCTGATGTGTAACAAAGGAAAATGGAAAAAAAATATAAAATGATGAAATTTGGGGAAAACAAACCTGTTTTACCAATGAAGGTAGGCTTAGGTTTCTGAGTCCAAGGGAGTGATAAAATGTGTTTTCAAATACTGCATAATGCAGGCAGTGTCTAAATTGAACTACTCTCAATGTTTTGAGTCCTAAAGTACATTTCACGAGCATGCATGTAAATGTCCCAGTCTGAGTAAATATTTACCTCTTACCTAAGCTCAGTTCTGTTTCGTACATGATGCAGAGAGAGGTTAAGCCTGTTAGGGAGGCTGACCTCTGAGGCGTGCCTGGTGCAGGCTGGCAGCGTTGAATAAATCCAAAAGCATTGTGGTCACTGCCACTTTCATTGTAAAAAGCCATCCATGGCTGGTAGTGGTAGTTCTGCTGTACCTTTTGTACAATATCCTAACTTTTAGGGTACTGACATCTGTCACTTCCAGCCCTCCAGGAGAAAGCCTGACCCTGGATCATACAATAACCTGGGTGAGAGTTATTTTCCCACTCCTTTTTGGTGTGATCCCTTCTGTAGCCTGAAGTGGTTGGGGCACTCAGCTGGAAGTGAACAGATGTGACTTGGGCACCGAGTATTATCACTTTTTTCTGTGTTTCAGAGTGTCTAATATAAATGGCCAAATATCATTATGAACAGCGTGCCAGCTGAGGAACCTTCAGCTAAGTGCTCGTTTCCACATCCCTGGATAAAGTCAGGTTCTTCCCTGCTACCTTCTTATGCCCCTGCACTCGCCCATTTCTGGTTGTACTGAGTTGTCGCTTCAGTGAAGATGTGTGGAAGGCCATTTCTCACACTGAGGGTTGTTTCCTAAGGACCAGACTATGTCATACAGATGGAAGGTGTCCCCTCTTGGCCCTCTTAGTCGTTTTACTTAGAAAGGAAAAGCGCTGCTCAAAAGAGCCCCTGCTTTGGTGCCATGGGTCACAGAGGTGCAATGTGCATGCTGCACTCCATGTTGGAGCAGGGAGGGAGCCAGGAGTCCAGACATCTTACAACTGGTGTTTTCTGTCGGCTAATCCTAGACAGCTAGTTCCTTTTTGCTAAATTACCTTGCTCAGGCCAGCTACCTGGGGTTTTTTTTTGCACTGCAGCATATAAATTGTGTCTCCAAAGTAGGCAGTCTGAAAATCCATTCTAAGATGCTCAGCCAAATTGGTCCAGGTTGTCCTGTTCTTTAAATATTGTGGGGGTTTTAATATGAATATGTATGCACATTTGCTAAAAACTATTAATTTTATAATATGTAGGAATTTGATAAAGCCAACACACAGAGAGTGCATCAGTTATTTTGGGAGATTGATGAAATGCTGTTCGAAGGAAAAGTGACCTCCCAAACTCAGAGCCTGCAGGCAGAATGTACAGACTGGGTTGAACGATTTCCTCATCTAAGGTAAGGAAATTTCTTGCTGGTACTAGTTTTAACCAGCTATCACTCTAATTTGAATTTTTGGGGTACCCTCGTATGAATTGCTCCTGATGTATGGCACCAGTAACACCTTTGCATTCAAATCTGGATCTCTGGGACTGAGCTGTGCCATAGTTACGCAGTAAGTTTGGGTGGTGATGCACTAGCAGCTAATGCTCTTTATTTTGCTTAATACAATGATTGCAGACAAAGATATTTTAGCAGGATGTAATGAGAAAATAATAATGCACCATTTTCATAATTACTTTTTCTAAATAAAGAACACATCTTGTAAAGAAATTTTTTTTTTTTTTTACTGTAAGTGAAGACATACTGTGAAATTCCAAGAAATTCAGTGTTAATTCTGTTACTGAGTCTTCTATAAAGAAATGAAAAATGAAGGCGACCACATGCTTCACATATACTGCACAGCCATAACGTCTTCCTAGGCTATGTAAATCAATGTAAAACAATGTGTGATATTAACCTGACAATAACTAGTTGGAACAGGTATGAGGTTGCATACATGATTAATGAGAATTGTTTTGCATAGATATGCAAAATGTCTAGGCAGCCTGATGACCGCTTCTTACAACACAAGGGACGGAAGTCAGAGTTGCACTGCATTGTACTGTCCTGCCTTCATAAATGATGGCATGTCATTCTTAGTGAGATGTTGTGGCTCTAAGCTATTCTAAACATAGACCTGCATATATCTGTCTTCTAGTCAATAGTTTGTTAACACCGTTAAAAAGAACGCTGTCAATAATTGTGGTATGCTTTCAATGCTCTTAGATAATTTGCAGAGGCTTGTTACTGGTAAATATAAACTACAATCAACTAAAAAAGCTTGTCACACTTTGTCAGGAACAAGAGAGAATTGTTAATTAAAACTGAGGCAATTTTTGCTAGCATTAAGGCATGCTTTGCCTTTTTTAGATACTGTAAAAATTAATAGAACATGCATAAAATGGAGACAGGTTTTAGTGCTGTGTAATTAACTCAAAATATTAAGTCATTTCACTATATTTTCAGAGTATTTTTACTAGGTGGAATTTTTCTAAGTAAGTGAGTCCCTGTAGTTACCATTTTCTGATTCAAATCTAGTGCTGGCAATACCAACCAAGTCCAAGAGGTTGAAAGCGAACTGAAGAAATCTGGGAGCTCTGTGTCATTTGGTACTAAGGGATGTGGTACATCCTGTGTTTAAAAAGAAAAAAAACAAAAATTTTCATTATTATCTTAAACCTTAAAACTCAGTTTGTGTTGACTAGTTACTCAAAAGAATAACTTCTGGGATGCCAGATTTATTTCTGAAAGTTATGCTTCAAAGAGCTCGCTGGTTGTCCTTTTTTTCAATTTGAAAAATAGCTATGTCGATATATGAATACTTAGCGTAGCATGTGAGAATAAATATACTTGAGAACTGTCATCAGTAAGAGTGTCCTGGTTTCGGCTGGGATAGGGTTAAATTTCTTCCTAGTGCTGTGTTTTGGATTTAGTACGAGAAGAATGTTGATAACACACTGATGTTTTTAGTTGTTGCTAAGAACCTTGTCAAGGACAACTATCCTCTGCTAGACTGGGCGGGAGCACAGCCAGGACAGCCAGCCTAGCTGGCCAACGGGGTATTCCATACCATGTGACATCATGCTCAGTATATGAATGGTAGGCGTGATCCAGGAAGTAGCGATTGTTACTTGGTTATCGGTCAGCGCGGGTGGTGAGCAATTGCATTGTGCATCACTCATTTTGTATATTCTATCATTATCATTATTATTTTCCCTTTTCTGTTCTATTAAACTGTCTTTATCTCAACCCACGAGTTTTTCTCACTCTCACCCTTCCGATTCTCTCCCCGTCCCACCGCAGGGTAGGGGGGAGTGAGCGAGCAGCTGCGTAGTATTTGGCTGCCTGCCAGGTTAAAGAGAAAGGTCAGATCTATTTCAAGAGAAAGCTTTTTCTTCTTGGCTTACAAAATAAAAAGTAAAAAAGCCTATTGCTTAGAGCTTCATGTCATATGAAGTGCTATTCTGTGAAAGGTAGTCTCAAGAAAACGTGTTCAGGTGAGTCTGAACATTGCTGCTTGCCCGACAGCTGCGACTGGCAAGTTCTTTTGAGATCCCTTGTGAATTCTAGTGAAACAGTTCAGTAAGCAGTGATTATTATTTACCTGTACTGTGTTCAGAAATTATTTTCTAGAGTAATTTTGTGTACATTTAAATAGAGTTGCTTTTATCTTTTCTCTCTGCCTCTCTGCATTATGCATGTTGGATTTTGTGCATTTTCTGGACATTAATTCTAGTCTTGACTATCCTTGTGAACATTTTGGACTAGGACTCCTGCTCATGTTGATGGATACCGGAGTTGGATAACTGAAGTCACAGCAGATGTTATTTGTACTCTGCATCCATTTTTGAACATTTCCTAGGGAGTTTTGATAAGAAAGGAAGTGTGTTTACTTTAGAACAATCTAACAAGTTTGACTATTTGCTCTTAAAAATTATAAGCTAGAATCTCATCTTGTGTAAATCAGCTTAATTTTAATGACTTAAATACTAGGCAATGTTAAATGTATTACACAAGGCCCTGGCCCCTCCATAAATTGCTTTTTCAAAGCAAATGTAAGGTGTGCTTTTGCATTGCCTACTGTTTGCAGATATTTGTATTCTTGATATTTGCATATGCAGTGGATTTCCACCTAAGATATCACTCATCCTCTCCTTTTTATTCAGGGTTCTAGGAAAGCAGGTCCTATTGCCGAAGGATGAAGGCTTTCAGCATTTTCAGAGCAGAAGTGATACCTCTGTGGATACTAAGTGCTTACCTGGCCTCCATGAATGTACTAGTAATATAAAAGAGTAAGTTAATTTTTTTAAGTTTACTTTTTGGTCTTCCCTCTTCAGAAATATCTACAAATATTACTTATGTATTACTGAAACATTTCAGTATAATTAAATATGCACTTTCTTCTTTCTTTGAATATTTAATATTTGAATATTTGATACTTTTTCAGGCTCTGCATTTCAGGCTCTAAACTGATCCCAACAGCATCTCCAATACATAAATCACTAGATTCAAGTTCCACTAGGATTTCTGCCTCTGACTCATCTGTGTATTCATTCCTGGAAGAAGAAATCTATGATGTGGATGGAAAAATAGAAGAATATCTTGCCTTTGACAACAAGGAGCTGTAAATAACAGATATATGTATTTTTTAAGAAAATAATGAAAAATTATCAGTGAGCACAGTCAGGGTTCGTAACTGTGTTTCTCTTCTATAAAATACAGTTCCTTCTGTTCCTGTATTCAGTAGCACAGTGGTCAGAGCACTTACTGGGCACGTGGAAGATTAGGTATGTTGTCTTTCTAGTGGTTCAAAACTCACATCTCCCATGTCAGAGGAATGTGTCTCAACCACTAGCTGTTTTCAGGTGTTTTGTGCATGGAGATTCAATAGAATGAATATTTAATTTTGAGACAGGGAGTAGAATGAAGGGATCCCTGCTTCCCAGGTGAGTGCCTTGACCACCAGGTTGTTTAGGGTCATTACGCTGTACGTGCTCTCCTTGTCTGCCCTAATGAATCTTAAATTCTTTTTGTGCAATGTGTAACAGCTTTGTTGAGGAGAGGTGCAGGATACAACCTGCATTTGGAGCACTCTGGTGAGTGACAGGAGTAATGCAACTGTCTTCTCGACAATGCAACCCAGGTTTCCCATGGCCCAGTTGAATGGTCCAGCAACTAGGCTACTGGGTAGAATAAAGACCGTAACATGCTGTTTTCTAAAAGGCCTCTACAAGAGGGAAGATTTTATAGGACTAGTAGGGCACAAAGCATAACTTTTTGTGCTAAAGCTTGATGCATTTACAGGAAAACGACATGGTTGTTCTGAAAAACTGAGAAACCAGACTGAGATCCAGGTAGACCCTTTCAGTCCTGTTTAGAAAGAGGGGGCCTGGGTGTCTACCATTTTGGAAAGGATTTAGGATTAAGAATCCTTTTAGGAGTGAAGTATTGCTAAGTAAGCAAACTTAATTTGGGAGAGGGACTTAACTGAAGGTGCTCTCCTTTGTGCCTCCTTGATATGTTGTTTCTTGTTTCCTTCTCAGGATTCGATTCTGAAATACCTTATTTTCCATAACTAAAACATTAGGAGTTACAAAGCCTGGTAGGAAAAAAGCTTGGTCATTTTGCGAATTGGACCATTCAGCCAAGTCTCAGTTATGGTTAAGAAGTTTGCGGTCCAGTTTGAGGAAGAGGTGAAAGAAGTGGCTGAGAAGAGAAAGGGAGATAGTAGAAACCAGTATGAATTTGGGATCATCCTTGAAATCTCAAAAAAATCGCACTTCCTTAGAAGGAAATATCATGGGGTTAAAACAAACCAAACAAACAAACAAACAAAAGGTTAAAACTTTCTTCCTAGGAAGTGTATTAGAAGATCAAGTTAGGAAATGTTGCTACACTCTGCTTCCCTAGGTAGGAAGGGAGGGGGGCGGGGAAGCAAAGAGTAACTGTCCACGCAGTAGTGGAAAGGAAGGAGGTGAGCATAAGGCTATGGGCTCTGCTGTTCTTGTCAGGCTGCAGAAATCCTTTAAAGTTGTTTGCCTTTGATCAGTGGTGAAGTGTTGCAGATGTGTGCAGGTACACAGGACGTGATATAAAAGAAATGTTCTGTGTGATAGTCCTCTGGCCAAATGCAACAGACAATAGTTCCCTTATGTTATGGTAAAAAGCATAGGATTTAGTCTCAAATGGCTAAGTGCCATGTATAAAGCTGTTCCTTCTAGAGCTGCAGATCTTTCTGTTGTAACGCCCTGACTGGATTTTTAAATTTTTTTACCTGCAAGCAAAAGAAAATCATTATATGTATTCGATAGGTTTTGTTCCCATAGGTACTCTGTGTGTTTGAATTTGAATTTTTTTGTGATGTACATCCGACTTGCTTTTCTTCCACGTGTATGTTTCTATTTGTTCAGTGTATTAGAAGGGGAAAAAAAAAGTCAAAACCCGTGGGAATTAATTTGAATTTGCTTCCTTTTTTAGTGATGATGAGAGTTGGGAACAAAAGAAAATGCGTCTCGCTGAGAAGAGGAGTAAGCGTGGCATTCCCCCTGTTTCTCCCAATGCCTGTATCAAAGATGCCGTGGCTTCTGAAATATTTGATTGTATCTGGAGCAATGTAACTGGAATATTGGAGGAACTGATTAAAAAAAATTGGGAAACTAGTATCACAGGTATTTGGTATTTTTAGATGTGGTATTTATTGAATCTAACTCAGGAAAGTGATTTTTTTGTTTGTTTGTTTTTGTTTTTGTTTTCTTAAAGCTTGGGAAATCTGGTTATTCTAAGATAGCGCGCCCCCCCCCACC